ATTTTTATAATGATATGGTTGAATAAATAAGTGGAGTGATTTGATCTTCTTTTGTATGGAATATGTTGATGTTGTGTGAGTTTTGAATCTAGATTGAAAAAGTGTTGGTAAGTACAGTGTAATTTGTTTAATAATAAAATTACGTGTCGCAATTTTTTTTAAAATTTATTTATCTATTTATGTTATTTTATTTTCAAAATAGACATGTTTCATGTATTATCCTCATTTTTAGCTTATTTAATTATTTCTTTTCTAGTAACTTTTTCTCTTATTTATATAATTTTGAAGAAAAATTAGAAAAAACATTTTAATCTTTTTTTAATATTGCCATTTTTTTCTAGTTTAATTATTTTATTAAATATTAAAATACTCAAAAATATTTTAATATTCTGTTTTCAATATTTTCATTAAGTTTTGTAATATATTAAAAAATATAAAAGAAAGGTTTAATCTTGTGTTTTATTGTTTTATTAAGTTTTTTTGAATAGTATTTTTAAAAATATAAAAGTTTTGTTTTGGTTACTTTTATTTTGTAATATTGAAAATATCAACAAAAAAAATTTAACGTTTTATTTTAATATGTCTTCTTTCTAGTTTAGTCATTTTATTAAATATTAAAAATACTCAAAATATTTTAATTTTTTATTTTTAATATTTTTATTAGATTTTATGATATTAAAAATGTAATCAATTTTGTTTGATTATTAATTAATTTAAATATTTTTATTTAACATTGATTAATTAAATTATTAATTAATCTTATTAAATATTTATATTTAAATTAATTAATAATTCTTGTCACCTGATTCTATGTCATGACTTGATCACTTCGATGCTTTGGGCATGCCTGTTCCTGATTTAATCTTGACGTTTTTCCATGATTAATCAGATTGTTTATTCACGATGTGTTGTCGTGATTGTTCTTTGTGTTTGTGGATTCTCACGATGTTTTGCTGTGAATATTTTATTTTGTCTGAGGATTTAATCTATTGTTGTTTTGTTGCTTTCACATTATGTTTTCTCATGTGTATTGTATACTCTGTTAATGTTTGATCGCGATGTTTTGTCGCGTATCTTTGTCTGTTTATACATGATGTTTTTTCGTGTATTTGTGTCGATCTTTTGTTGTTTGATACCATGATGTTCTTGCCATGTATTATGTTTGTATCTTTATCTGATGTCATTTACATGATGTTTTTCCATATATTTGTTGTTTTCGATTCTATGTTGACCTAGTCCAAGGGGAGAGATTGTGCATCCCTTGTTTCATGCACTCACCCCACATCATGGTGAGCAAAAAGACAACTACTTCGACGACAAGGAAAATGTCATAGAGGAGATACACATCGCTATGGATGACCTTCAGCTTTATAACCAAACTTTGGAAGGAAACATTCACCATATCCTACAACGCCAACAAGGGACTGATATGATGGATACACTAGAGGCACTAGATCCCCTATCTTTATCAGACGAAATATGAGAGACGTCAGTCCATGAAAACTTAAAGCCTCAATTGTTAGCTGTTTAATGGACGCATCGACCCGTATGAGTATGTGGCCTGCATCATCACTCAGATAGCCATCACTAGAGTATCTGATTCTCTGATGTGCAGGATCTTGTCCGACACCTTTAGGGACGCAACTATGAGATGGTATGTGGGCCATCCTAGAGGCTCTGTCACAAGCTACCGAGATCTGGCAAAGAAATTAGTCCATCAACTCGCCACAAGTAGGCATCAGAAGTTAACCGCCACCAGCTTGTTCAAAATACCTCAGGGTCCACCTAAGTAATTGAAGGAATATCTTGCCCGCTTCAGTGACACGGCCATCAAGGTGATCCACCATAATCAGGAAATGTTTGTAGGAGCGTTTCAAAACGGTATCATGGAAATACACTTCAATGAATACCTTACCCAAAGATCAACACTAATATTGGTTGAGGTAGTGACACAAGAATTTTTTTTCATCAAGGGCGAGAAAAGTAATATTGAGAACAAGGTTTGTGACTCAAAAAAGCTCACTTTCGTCACTGATATCTCGAGAAGGAACCAATACACGTCACAAATGAGATACATAGCAACATTCAAGCAGAGTGGAAAGTCTATTAAAAGCTTCACCCCCTTAAATTCCCTCAGGGAACAGATATAGCGAGAGGTTCTGCACATAGACAATATCCCCCAACCAATAGCTTCAAAGACGAAAAATCACGGGGCCTGATCCTCACATCTGGTGCAAATTCCATAAGATGAAGGAGTATCAGACATAAGATTGTTACTAACTAAAAAAAGGAGATAGAGCGCCTCATTCAAAAAGGACACGTAAAGAAGTATATCAAGGGCAACTCAGCTTAAGGATCAGACAAATCCAACTCGCAAGGTCATCATTCAAATCAAATAACCCTAATTCGAATCATGGTTCAAATTAGATAGTCGTGATTCAGATTATGATTCAAATAAGACAACTAGAATTGTAGGAATCACCCCTGATTTGAATTAGAAAAATTCCTGGTTTCGAATTAAGGCACCAAATTTCCAAAATTAGCATTTTTTCAGTAGAGAGGCCTAACTTGTAACCCAAAACAACCTCACCATACTTAACATCTAGGCATAATCAGGATACCAAAAAACACACCAATCTTCAGTATATCAAACCATTGATCCTAAACTCTAGCATGCATTCACCACATTATGGTTTTACACTACCACATGCATCTCTACTAAATATCATAAATGAAGGGAGAGGAAACCCACGTTTAACAATTTGAAGATGATGAGGATGATGAGCTTTCGTCCTCTCTTAGCTACATGCAATGTCAAAATCAAGCTCTTCATATGTTCGTCTTTAATTCTTCATTCTAAGGCCTCATTTCCCATGCAACTTGACCAAGTGAAATATTCTTCTCACTTTCTCATCCCAAAACTGCAATGACCTTTACCAAGAAGCCTCAATTTTTTGTCATGCAAGGTAGATTGATTCTTCACTCCAACTTCCAACCCTTACTTTTAATGCAATTGATTATTTCTCCCTTTAATTGATGTGAGAGGTAAGAGGATGAAAATTGCATGTAAGTGAAGAGGACTTGCACACAAGTCCACCTCTCCGGTTTCTCTTCTCTCCATTTCAGTGGAAAAAGAGGAAGAACTTGGGAAATGAAAATATTTTATGTGTATAAAATAATTATTATTCACATATTTAAAAGTGAATTTGCAAGAGATTATCTCATAGTGTTTGTGCGTCATATTTAAAAATTAAAAATTTTGCCAAGGTATTAACCAAAAGTTTCTTCAAGGGTATGTCTTGTTAACAAAAGAGGAAGAATAAATGGAGAGAAAAGAGACTAGAATTTTTATTAGAATAACAAAAATATGTAGAATAAGGATTATAATAGAATATGCATATCTTATTAAGACATGATAAATGTATAGTAACCTAATTATAATATTATCTAACACATCCCTTCAAAATCATGATGCATTAAAAGGAACATCAAGAGTTTGCTAATTAAAAAACAAAAATGTTAAAAAGAACATAAAGAATCTGCCAATTAAAAACAAAAATGTTTAATGAAACATGTCTTCTAAATAAACGAGAGACATTAGTCGGTCACAAGGCCGAATATTAATATATATATATATATATATATATATATATATATATATATATATATATATATATATATATATATATATATATATATATATATATATATATATATATATATATATATATATATATATATATATATATATATATATATATATATATATAGAGAGAGAGAGAGAGAGAGAGAGAGAGAGAGGGAGAGAGAGAGTAATTCTTCTACGTTGAAGACGGTGACAAATGAAGTGCCAATCAATTTCAATGTGTTCGATACATTCATGAAATATCGAGTTGTGAACAGTTTGAATGACACACTTGTTATCAAAATATATGAAAGTTTATTCAAAAATAAATGTGCTAAAATGAAAAAATAACTAACGCAATCAAAGTATTTCAGTAGTTTTGAATATCATAACACAACACTAAACTTCCGTGGGAAAGCAAAATATAATATATTATTTCTTAATATTCTAAGAAATAAGATAGTCTCCAACAAATATATAAAAAACATTTATAGACCAATGATCTATGAAATCACCGGTTCAATCAACGTCAGAATAAGCACGTAATTCTAATGAGGATGTTGAGGGGAAATAAGCATGTTTCAAAGATTTGTATAAATGTGTTGGTACAACATCATTCAGATAACTTTCTCTAGTGAGGATGTTGAGGAAATAAGCACGTTTCAAAAATTTGTATAAATGTGATTGTATAACCTCATTCATTGAGATAACTTTTTGGATCAGATCCAAACCCATTTAACTTTGTATTAGAGTTACTACAACGTGAGAATATCAAGCCCATGCTAGGCGTAAAAGTGGACATTAAAGTTGTTTGAATTATGTTCAGTGTCCCACATTGCTTGAGAGAGCTATTAGATGTATAAATGTGTTTGGACAAGTTCATCTATTGAATTAGCTTTTTGAATGAGACATTGAATTAGCATTTAGGATGAGCTACAAACTCACTTAACATATCTATGTCAACCAAAAAGTGATTTTTTTTTTTTACTATACTCAATATTTACTCAAAGTTTGTCAACTCTAAATAATTTATATAAGAAATGCTTCAGCATTTCCTCTCCATGTGTGTTTTCCCCTTTTTTTTTTCTCCTCCAACTCTCAAATTAATTTTATCTTCACCAAAAATGCTTCAAAAGAAAAGAAAAAAACTTTTATTTTTTATTTATTTTTTGTTAACTAATTGATATTATACTCTTAGCTGATCAATTTGTCTCAAATATTGGTTTAGTTTCAACTTAATGAGATGATATGGTTCTACCTCACTAAAATCTCAATATTTTTGAGTTAAAAGCAAAAAATAGAAAAAGATAAGTCAAAACTTGAAATTCAAGGCCTGTCCTATGGAAGGAAACGAAGATTACATGGTACAACATTCTTACAACTTGAGTTTCGTAATGTCGATCTTCTTACGAGGATATGTGTATGCTTCGTAGTTAATGTTTTGGCCCAGGGTACTCAATTTCGTGAAAGTAGTTATCAGATCAACCTGAAAAGATGCCAAACAAAAGTCTCAGTAACTGTTTTGCTTCGTTTGGATCAAGACAGGTACATAGATAAACAAAGTTACCTCATAATCTGTTCGCGAGACAGTTTCGCGGCTCCGTTGGTATTTTTGTACCCATGGAGCAACGTCTGGATCAGATGCTAATAAGGCTTCTGTTGCATCCTGATCAGGACCTATGAATGCAGACAAAACAGCAAGCTAGCCGAATAGAGAAAGAAAATAATTAGTAACATGCCGAGCTGTCTTAAGTTTTTGAAGACTCTGTGTGAAGTTTCCCAAGATTAAACTGTGACAAATATTTTATGAGGTTCTATTTAACCACAGCTTATTAGTGATAAATTTTGAACCCTGAGCGATGACACACCTTCAAAGACGGAAAAAGTAGTTATAAAATATGGAAAGTACCTGGCGAGGACCAAGGCCTACGGCAGCAAACTTATCTTTCATTTCCTGAACACTTGCTTTCTCCCAAATTGGAATTCTCCCTTCTGGATCAGGCTCTTGAGTATCAGCCCTACCGAATTGTCGGTCGAACAAACCCCACTGATCCATAAAGAAAATCGAACGCGTTGCATGCTCGCTCCAGTTAGTTGAAGCTTCAGTAGTAAAGCATTATGGAGTAAGAAGACAAGTTCAAAATAAAAACCTGTCCATTTGATCCATAGGCTGTGTACAGTAAATTCCCTTTCTCAACATTTCCACCGCATTTGCGAATTGCAGAAGCTAAAAATGTAGCCTTTGTTGCACTTTGTGCTACAAAATTGAAGTCAATAAAATCAAGAGAATTTGAATACTGTATATTTCTATAACTTCTATAGCCAATTCTTAATCACAAATTGCTTAACAAAAAATTGTCACAACCAACAGACATTTAGAAAAATGTATAACCTGCATACTGGATTAGATCTGCATAGGAAATCGGTCCACCTTTCGAATATGAATCTATGTCTTTTTTTGCTTCCTCTATGAAATTCAAGGCTGCAGAAAGACCCTTATTTTCAGGTCTACTTATTTCTGAGCTTCACACAGAATTATGAAACAAAAAAAAACAAAAAAATTATGATTATTAGTAAGCAAAATAATGCATACATGCAAAGGAAGACGAAATTTTTTCGTTTCTGAAGAATTTGCAAGAAATTTTCGTTTCTGAAGAATTTGCAAGAAAAACCAGAAACTTAAGATATACTAACAAGTACAGCTTCAAAAGAAAATAGAAGTACCTAAACCGTATAGAGCCATTCGAGCCACCCGTTTTCGTTGCCTACAAACTTAAGATGATTCCAATCAATATTTATTACAAATGATGACTTTAGATATCTGATCATGCCAGTGTTGTCAATCGTGGATCGTGGAAAATGATGTTTTGTTCAAATTTTGCTATAATACAGTGCTATAACATTTTTCTATAGCCATTGTTTGACAACACTTTGTACTAATCACATATCACAGAACAATAGCACTTTGTTAATATTCTGCTACACTATCCTATGTGTGTGCGAGCGTCTCACCTTATCATAAGTCAAAGCATCATTTATAGCCAGTGTTAATAAGGATGGAACAATATCTGGATTTCCCTGAAGAGATATCAAATGTAAAATCAGATTATATCCAAATATGAATTCTATTCTTAGACGTATAATCTACAACCATACTACTTTTACTGTTACTAAGCAAATGTGAATCAGCAATAATATATATACCTTAATGGCATTATAAAGAGTTCCTTTAATTTCAGCTGTAAGAACAGAAAGTTAGAACCTCAAAGTTGACATGATTAATGGTTACATAGAATTGTAAACCGAAGAACCTTACATTGAAACTCAGAACGCTGTCTGCGTTCAATTAGATCAGCAGCATTAGCCGTTCCAACAAGCAATCCAGAGTTTGTTATCGATTCCTACAAACAGATACAACTGATCGAAACTCATCATCAAATCAATCTTATCCACTAAGTAAATATCTAAAAATGACATTGTCCGGTTATGTCAGCAGCTTAGTTGGTAGTTGTGCAGAAACATTAGAATGCAGAGGCGCAAATTGGAACTTGCCACAAAGTTAAACTAGTTTACAAGAATTGGTTTGTTGCCAACCTCTTGAAAGAAAGGGTCTTACCAAACCAATAGTCACCCCAATGCATTTAAGAATGTCTCTTCGTTTCCAATGGAACTGTTGTTCTTCATCACCACTGACATCAGTTTTGATTTTAGCACAATAAATGGACACCTAACAATATTCATTTGAACAATATTATACAGTTTGTTTTAGGACATTGTAATGCATGCGACAGAGAGAACTGAGTTAAACACTTACTAAACGAGGTTGGTGTCTGGTTGTAGTTGTTTTAGGATAATGAGAACCAAGTAATGGATGGAGAGAAGGAAGTGATGAGATTGAGAGGAAGGAGACACCCATTGTAGTTGCAATTACAACAAATTGTTTGGTGTCTCTGTGTTTGGAAGGAGGAAGGGGAAAGTGTAATATCTTGTGTGGTTTGTTTGAGGTCACATTAGATTAGATAATACTATGCATTATCCACTTCCATCTTTTTCTATTGGATTCTCTTATTTCTACCCCAATCCTTCCTTGGATTTCTTTAAATAGTTCCCTCTAAATAATATGGGTTTTCAATAAATTACAAAGGTTGGGGTGATTTTTCAGCCAATACAAAATATCTATATATTTTTTGTTAATTAGTAACTTTTTTAATTTATACATTAATGGAAGGCAAATTATCGTCTATTATTTTTACGACGGTAAATTCAATATGTTTATTAATTACATTTATAATTCTACGAGACAAAGAATATTATTATTATAAACTTTTGCATTTTTTTTTTAAAAAAAAATTATTGTCTTTGATGTTAGAAAAACAAAAATGTCAAACATAAATGATATGAAAACATATTGGTTGCATGAATATATTTTTTATATATTTGATCACTTTACTTGAATCGATTTTAAAAACTATTTGTTTTACGTTAAAACTTTCGATCTTCGTTCCCACAAGGAGAGAAACATCAATCAAGTTCACATATGCATGTTTTATTTCTATCAAACTATATAACAAAACATTTGTTAACCTAAGTGTTGATCTTTAATCTCGAGGATCAGTAAAAAAAACACAAGCGCCTATTTATTCACAAATACTCTAGCCCTCCCCTTAAATATATCAAACAAGACTTCCCTATCAAGGTAATGCCAATATTTGAATCCTGAAAGCTCCCTACATTGAATTGTATGTTTTCCAATATATTCAAGCACAACTAACGACAAACAGGATAAATCTCATCAACAAGAAATAAGAAATTCATGAGGAAATATCTACGAATAATACAATACTCTATTAGTGACATATGTTGGTTCAATCCATCAATAGGAATAACTAGAATAAAAGCATGGGGAAAATTGTAACACCACATTTAAATATTTAGTCGTTTATGATTTATTGTGTATGATTACTTTGACATTGTCTTGGTTAAGGGTATGTGTGTAAGAGTGAGTGTAAGAGCTTAGTAGAATGAATTAATCAAAATTAAATGCTAAGATAATATTGTAGTGATAATAATATAAATAAGGAGATACTTCATTAGTATTATTATTATTAATGTTATTATTATTACTATTATTATTATTATTAGTGTTATTATTAATACTATTATTATTAGGATTATTATTGAGATTATTATTGAAATTATTATAATTAAGAAAATAGAGATAATTAGAGAAAATAACCCACAATTAGAAAAGAGTGGTAGAGAAGTTACATAGAAAAATCAGTTTCACATAAAAGAAAAAGAAAGGAAGAATGAAGGTGAGCTAGGGCAAGAGGAACAAGAGTTTTCCACCATTGTTGAAGAGAGAAAAGCTTGAAAATTCAGATAAGGGGGGAGAATGAGATTCTTTAATGGTGGTCGGAACATGAGAGGGTAGTGAGGATTCCTTTCCCTCTTAAGATTTTCTGCGTATTCCATCTTCTTCTTGATTGTTTGTATGTTTGTGTGGTAATTGTTGTAAATTTGTATCAGTATACTGTTCTGATATGAATTTGTGTTGCATGCTGATTCGAATATTAAATTCGTGTGAATTATGTACTGTTGTTGCTGGGTTCTGATATGGAAACATATCTGAGATTTTGGGGTTTTTATGGGGTTAACAAAAATGGATCCTAATGGTAGAAAATGTTGATAGAATGACAAATTAATGAAGTAGAATTAGGAATCTAAAACTATATCGAGACAAATGTTGTTTTGGATCTGAATTAGGAGCTTGGAAGTGCTCCAATGGGAGAAAATCGCACTGATGTGAAAATGAGTTTTTTTTTCTGTACATACTGACCATATGCGTAACGCATGGGGCATTACGCGTATGGGGGACGTTCCCAAGGGCATACGCGTAAGGTACACACCCCGTCCCCAGAGCCAGCACGACCCTTTGATCGTACGCATAAGGTACGTGTAAGGGGAAGTGGATCATACACATATGGGAGGTTTTGGATGGGTTTCGGAGAGAAATCCTCTTTGGTCATACGCGTAAGGCCTAGGGTAATACGCGTATGAAGGCCTGGGAATGGAGGCCCTACGCGTAGCATACGCAGGCCTAGAGCGAGGAAAACTGGTCCATACGCGTATGGGCATGGTCATACACATATGGGTAGGGCTGTAGTGAAATTTTCCCGTTTTTGCGATTTATATCCTGGTTTCGTGTGTAATGCAATTTTTCTTGATCTGTCAGACTAAGATGGTATAATTGGACATAGGGGGAACCAATAATGACATTAAATAGGATAAAACGTGGGATTTTTATGTGATTGTTTATATGAGACATGTTTGGTGATTGTGCGTCAAGATTGTCGTATGTGGATGGTCTTAGGCTGTGGTGGTAATTCCAGAGGGAATTATGGTGAGTATGTGGCTCACGTGTGATCATTAAGGATCGTGGGTTATGCACGAATGATTATTATATTGTGCATAATTTTGTGTCATGCATCCATGTCATGTTATGTAGAGATGAGTTAGGTGATAATACATGATATGTGTCTAGTCTCGTCCGGACTCCATGTGGGAGTCGAGTGGAGATAAGTTGTAGTTCAGAGGAACGTATACGACTTATCCAGATTCCGAAGGGAATCAAGTTCAATGAAGGAACCGTGTGGATTGTGATGGTACCACATGTATTATGTCGTGTTAGTTGAGTCGCATTGCATATGTATATGACTGATTGCATGGTGAATATGTCGAGTATTTATGTGACACTTGTATGTGCATGGTGATAGTATGATTGTGTGATAAATACTCCTTAGCATGTGATTTTCACTGTGTATTATTGAATGTAATTTTTACCCTTTTTCTGTTGTTGTGTCTGTGCTCCTTGGGGAGTACAGATGATCAGGTGCTTGAGTAGTGCTTGGAGCATGTGTTGCTATTGTTCGAGTCTTAGGAGTCGGCCTGACACGTAACACGGGGAGGATGAGGGATTTCATTATTTTCTTTATGTTATTTGGCATTTGTTATTTGTTACGTATCTTGTCTTGTTTAATGTTGTTGAACCACAAATTTTGTGGAGATTTGATTATTGGAGCTTTAATGCTGAACCATTTGATTTATTTACGCTGTTTAATCAATTAATTTATTTTTATGAGGATATAAGTTATGAAGTGATTTGATACTTCATGATGATGTTTTCTTGATGTGGCATCCTACATGTGTAACCCTGATTAATTTCTGTAAACTATTTTCGTATTTTTACTTATTACGCGAATAGGTAGAATAGGGTGTTACAGAAATCATAAGGCATATCTACAGATAGTACAAAACTCTATCAGTGACATATGTTGGTTCAATCCATTAATATGAATACCTAGAAGAAAATCTTGAGTCTGTGTCGCATGCAAACAACCAAAAACTACTTTTTGTCATGTGGTTAATGTTGTAAAGCATATGTCAAATGCGGTTTTATAGTCTCCACAAGCCTATTAACCATTTCTCAGTCTATTAGCCAATAAGTCAACATTAAGTTTCAACAGTGAATGCAGACACCAATGTCTAATTTCATCAAATATTGTTATTCGCACAAATATTAAACTTAAATCTATGTCTAGACTTTAACATCCAATATACGATAGACTTTGATCTAGTAATAACTCGTGCCTTTTGAATATCAAGTTATAGCATGAAAACATGTCTTAGGTAGCTATCTCAAAACAAGCATAAATAACGAATAATCCATCAATATTAAAACTTAAGAAGAATTACATAGAACATCATGGTATAGATCAAAACATAAGTAACAAACCAATTACAACTAACCCAAACAAAAGATAAAATTAGTTATGTTTACTCATCCTAGCCTTACAATCAAGCCCTAGAGTAAGAAAGTTGAAAAACATATGTTGACGATTCGTTGGGCAGCGCTTCCACCCTCGATCATTCTATCTTATTCTCTCGTGTTGTGATTTATGGTGATAAATTAATTTCACTAAGGAACCACCTTAAATTCCATCGAATGTGATCCAATTCTCTTGAGTCGAATGAATTGAATATCTCAAATGAAGGCCTAACACCCCTATTTATAGGCTTTGGAAAGCTAGGCTTACTTAATGCACCTAATTTCTTCTTGGTTAAGTCATGACAGTTACTCTAAGTCTAGATTTGCCACTTATGTTCATTAATTCAACCACCCAAACTTACTTAGCCAACAAAACCTTACTCCACCTTGAAGAAACATAACCCGAAAGTTTTTTAACCTTCTTCGCTCGTTAAGCGTGTCTGGTTTCCTGGCTTAGCAAGGATGCATCTTTGCTCACTAAATATGTTTTTTCTCTTGGTTTAGGGAGCCTTGATTTGCTAAGAGAGTTCTTGGCTTGGTATCTTTTAGTGTTTTGGTTGATTTCTTGATTTTTTTTCCATGTATTTCATAAATGCATAGTTAAAATTTCCATACAGACGTTTTTATCATTTTTTACTAATAAATCAAAGGTTTTTCATTTAATATCTTCTAAAATAAGTTAATAAGTACCTATGTATTTAACGTATTTTTGGAACTTATCATTCGTGTAAAATTTACTTCTATGTCCTAAACAATTTTACTAAAAATAAAACTCACCAAAACATGTTGGGCTTTAAGGGCAACAATGTCATTGCTAGTTAAACTTCTAAGGTTAAAATTTGGGATTGTACCACTAAGATTATTCAAAGCTCTGTCAAATTAGAGTTCATACTGATAATAGTTTATTAGTCATCATTTTGTTATGCTTTATACGTTCATTTTCATCTAATTTAGTATCTGTTTAGTGTTTCGATCATGAATTATAGTTAGCTTTATGAGTTTCATCGGTTTCACGAGGTTTCTAATATTATGTGAGAAATATGACGTTTTTGGAAATGTTTAATTTGTGTTACAGGACCCTAAGTGAA